ACAATTAAATAACACTTTTGTACTCCCAGACATGATATCTACGCCATTTACATACAATGCTATGCACATTTAATAACTATTATGGGCCCTGACTATTCCGTTTGCTTTGCAGCTCTCTGCCCTGACCCCTGACCTCCATGAACACAATTCTTAACTCTGTTACTAAGGTATTCTGCAGTCACAGGCCTGATTGTGCCATTCAGCCCTTTGCTTAAAACTCCACGCCTTAAAACTTGTGCAGCTTATCTGATGGTGGGATCACCTCACTTAGGCTCTCAGCTTCTCAAGGGTGACAGTCTCCTCCTGCCTGCAGCTTGGCTTTTCACCTGATCCCCTCTCCTATACCCTGTATTTTGGCTGGGGTTTAATTCATGTTGAATGAAAAACTTTTTGAAAATAACAGATCAAGTCAAGGAACACGCTGGTTGGTACCTTTTGAGAAAGACATGTTTCTGGCCAAGGACGTGGGAATCAGGTTCTGTCATGGGTGTTCATTCTCTCTGACAGGTGCATGTTTAATTTGCTTGCTTATAACTTATTAGACCACATCCTTGTTCTCTGTTACTTTACCTTTATTTATTTTATTGATCTTAAAACTAATTAGTGCTCTACAGGTGGGGGAGTAGATGTGTTTCCTCTCTGGTAAAACCTCCCTCCCCAGTGGGAGGTGAGTGGAGGTGTTGAGGGTGCTCCCTGTCCTACCTGTTTCTGAGCTGGAGGACACCGGCGGTCCACAGATTGGAAACACTGAACAGCAGAGTTTTCTTTTGATCTCTCCCATCGTGTGGTATTTGTGTGGTATTTCTCCGCCTCACGTTTGCTGAGCGTTGATTTCCACTGCAGATACTGTGTAAGATGCCTGAGTGTGTAAATGTTTCCCACTGCTTGCCAACTTTTACTTTTTGTTTAATCAGGCAACCCCTCGGGGCGGAATCTCATGCATTGTTCCCAGTAGCTCATAGCCAGACAACTTAAAGATGTTTACAAAGTCTCTGAGGAACTAAGTAATCGGGTTTCTCCGGGGACACCACAGCTGCAGGCCTAGTGGGTATTTTCCACTTTAGCTTTGCAGGCTGAGCTGTGTCCTTTTCATGAGGTTGAGAAGGTGGTGTGTAGGGGAGAACAGAGGGGACAATGGCTTTTTATCTTTTCTGCCAGCTCATTGTTTTCTTTTTAAGATACATAGAATGCCTCAGAGGGCATTCTGGCCTTGGAGCCCGTACCTGCCTGCCTCCCATCCCCACCCACTCTGGTTCTGGCTGGATCCTGGGGTGGGCTGGGCTGGATAGAATAACTTCCTTTTGGTCCTTGTTCTTAAATGACCCTCCAGAAGCTTCTATCTCAACAGCAAGGCCTGTATTTTATTAACAAACGAGCTCCATTCTGTAGTCCAGAGTGTTTGAGTAATTTCCTCTAGGGGTTGAAAAATAAAATGATATGACCAGAGAAGTCCAACCCATTTCACTGAGAACTGCCCTCTTTTTTACCCCTTCATTCAACATTGATACCAAAATGACAAAGTTGCAAACTATAAATGAAAAATTCGATTCAATCTGAAGGAAGATAACAGATTTTAAACAAGAAACAAAAAGTAAAGTACATGAGCTCCTCTAGTCTATGTTTATTCCACCAGCCAGCCACCACCAACTTTTATGACATAAGTTAAATTTCACATCCTCTTTTTGAGGCTCTTAATAACTTTTCATTACTCTAGAGATAAAATGCAAACTATTGATGGTAACCTCTGTACTCCAGCCAAAGTACAGTTCAGTTCCTGGAACCACCACACTCTGACCTCAGCGCCTTTGCTGTCTCTTCTTGGAATACTTTTTTTTTTTTTTTTAACTCTTTGGCTCTCTGACCACTTTCTCTGAAAGGTTTTCCACAACCATTCTAATATAAACCATCTACTATAGCCTCTTCCATTACTGTATGTGTTTATCAACAGTGTTTGACTATCAATTTACCCATTACAATGATCCTTATTTTTTTCTATTCTTCTCTTCCTCCTCCTCCTCCTGTTCCCCTCCCGCTCCCCTCTCCCCTTCCTGCTGTTACTCTTCTTTCTCCTCCTCTTCTTCTTCTTCTCCTTTTCCATCTTCGTCTCCTTTTCCTCCTCCTTCTTCTTCTCCTTCTCCTCCTTCTTCTCTTTCTCCTCCTTCTTCTTCATCTTCCCTGTCTCTCTGTCTTTCTCTGTCTTGTTTTTATGCAGGCTGACATTCTAGAAGAAATAATTCTTTACAGATTATTTTAAAGCTATGGTGTGATTTACATACAATAAAGAGACTTTTGAATGTCTAGTAACCACCATTCATAATAAGCTGTTGGAAGTTTTCTGTCATCTGTGAAAGTTTTCTAGTTAATTCTTTATCTGTGGTAACTGCTTCTTGACTAATAATATTCAACTTTAACCTATTCTTGTCTTCTTTCTTGCAACATAATACCTACAAGAGTCATTTACAATGTTTGTTGTATCAGAAATTCGTTTCTTTTTCTTCCATTGTATGAATGTACCAAACACTTTGGTTGAGTATTATGGGTAATGCTATCATTATAAAAATTTTGTATGAGTATTTTTAGGGATACATATTCATTTCTCTAAGTCCAATATATAAAGTAGATTTGCTCAATCGCACGGTAGATGTGTATTTAACCTTAAAGATGACAAAAACACTGTCTTTCTAAACTTTACTAAATTGTACGTGATTTCAATTTCAAGGCCTGATTCATGGTAGTTATTCTTTATTTCTCTGTTGAACGTTAAATTGCTTTTTTCAGTGTTCTGGCTTCTGAGAGGTAAATCATGATAGAATTTAGCAAAAATCAATTTTAAAGTTATCCCTCAGTCTCAGCATTTTGTTGTTTTATTTTGCCTTTTCTTTCTTCTTTCCTTCTTATAACCACTGTTCTGAAGGTGAAAACCCTTCCTGTGCTTTGGTTCTGTAATTCGAACCCGTGTGGGGGCAGTTACAGTGATTCTCCCAGGAGGTCAGACTGCTGTGTGGAGTGCTGTCTGCTCATCACTCATTGGGAACCAGATAAAACATGCCTTGAGCCTCCTGGGAGGCCAAGGGCAGAGCGGAAGTGGCACCATCAGCTCTCCTTATTCTTTATTAGGAACTATGAAAACTCACTACTTCCTCCTGATACCAGTAAATCAGGCCCAAATCAAGGATTTGTGGGTGGAGACCGTGGGCCCTTCCTTGAGGAGTCTCATTCGTGATTTGCCGTGATCCCCATGGGTTCACAGTTCCTCTTCGTGCTCTTTATTTCTTTCATTTTCCTGGGAAATCTTCAGGGTGTTCAGGATACCTCTGGGGATCCCATTTAGGTGAGTGAACCTGGAAATAGGATGGGAAATAGGAAGGAGGCGGGCAGAGGGAGGAAGAGGTAATTAGTGAGTGGGCAATCGCATTGATTTAAGGGCAGACGCAGGCTTCACGAGTAACTCCTTAAAAGGCAAAGTACCTCTGTGCTTCACGAAGATTTGCATAACTGCTAATTAATAATTGGGAGAAGTGAATCATCAGAACGTCATGGGGGCTGATTATTTCTATTAAGCTTGGCGGAATCTTGTGGTGGGCATGGCTTTTCTAGGCCCCCCGCAACATAGCAGCCTGTAATACCTGGTTAGCAGCTCCTTCATTTCTAGCAATTGGTTACTGTTGAAGTGCTTGCAAACACAGATGACTCAGAAAGCTGTTACATGTGGGGAGTAAACACCCTTTGATTTTCCTTTCCCAGGATGGGAGAAAATTTGGGTATTATCAGGGAAGAAGGACTTATCAGATAGTGTAAAGCCATTCAAAACAATTTTTCATAATTCTTATTCTATTTCAAAGTATATTTTATCATGAACCTATAATTTTCAAGAAACTATAATAAATAATGCAGTCAAAACTGTAGGGGAGAGAGACAAGTTTATATCCAGTAGTCTGATACAGTCAGTATACATTCAGTTCTGGTCTTCCTGCTAGCGTTAACAAAAAACATAACTAAACTAAACTAAAAACTAAAAATGTACAAAAGCAGAAATACTTTCAGCTGTTTGGTAAAAGAGACCACAAAATCCAATGGCATATTTTCTTAGAAAAACTGACTTACTGGATTTCCTTGTAAAAGATAAGATGAAAGAAATGAACACTGTCTTAAGAAATATCATCTGGATAGATATCTCTTACATTTATGATGGTTTGGAATTTAAAAGCACGATGTTAAGATCTCCCTGAAGGAATTCAGATGAAGCACTGAGTTAATAGTTAATCTTCTTTCTGAAGATTATGTAATTTGACACAGTGTTAGAGGTTTGTGAACTTATTACTAAAGTTCTTAACATTCTTATACAATGGATTTTGAAATAATATTTTGCATGAATGAGCAAAGTATATAGAATAATATAGAAAGCATACTAAATACATTTTTTGAAAACATATATATACACATTAAATAGCAATGGTATCTATCAACTGGTCTACAAACTACCATAGTTCAAAATAGCAATGAATAAAAAACAGTATTTCAGAGTGGAACATATTTGTACAACTTTAGTGTTATAAGAAAAATACTTATAGTTCCTAACCACTGATATTGATAATATCATTGGGGTTTATCTTCTATACTCATAAAAGAAGTAAATATACACTGTTAGAACTAGTGAAAATGGAGATGTATTTTTCCCCATTTAAGTTCACTGATCCTCTGTGTTCTAACGATAGGCCCCTTGGAATCTATGGACACTACTTAACAAAGCAATGACTTAGAGAAATGGACATGGTAAGACAACTCCTCTTCATTTCTTTGTCAGAAGTGTGGTAAGAGCCAAACATATTACAGATATTGCTCAATTTACAATGGGTTATGTCCTGATAAACCTACCACAAGTTGAAAGTATTGAGAATCAAAAATACATTCAGTTGATTTAACATAGCTGACATCGTAGCTTAGCAACACAGTACACTGGGAAGTGTTGGTTGCATGACTTCACCACTGTGAGACTGACCAGGAAATGTAGCTGCTGCTGCCCAGCGGTGAGTGAGCCCTGCCCACACTTTGCTAGCCTGGAAAAGCAAGCTTCAACAGTGAAGGAACGGTTTCTACTTACTGCATATTGATTTTGCACTGTGATTAAGTGTAAAAATTGTAAGTTGAACCATTATAAGTTGGTGGCTGTCTGTATTAATTGCAAAACTTAAGCAAGAACTTTTCTTATCAGTGAATGGTTTTCTTTTGTTTTAGCTCTGCAATCTATTGCATTATGGAGAGTGCAACACTTTTAACAATGGGAAAAAGAAGGCATAGATGTGAAAGGTAAGATTCTTGTATCATCTGTATCAGACTAATGGAAAAACATGAGGTTTTTTTCGTTTGTGGAGACAAGTTCTCCCTGTGTAGTCCCGGCTGAGCCTTAAACTCACTGTGTAGCTCAGGCTGGCCTCAAACTTGTGGCAATCCTTCTGCCTCAGTCTCCTGAGAGCTGCGATTACAGGCATGCGCCACCATGCCTGGCTGAAAATTCTTGAATGTAAGAAAAGAGAAGCATCAACAAATGACCACCTGGCGCTCAAAAAAGCTGAGACAAGTGAGGGATCTTCTCCTGTTACCATTTTCCTTTTCCATGATTCACTGTGGAAAATGCAGACAGAGGGTGAAAAAACTGGAAAGGGGGGAGATAAAAAACAGTGGAGGGTGGGGAGAAAAGTAACTGAGCTGGATGGGAAGGGAAGACAAAGGAAGGGATCCTTATTTATGCAGAGAATTCACTGTCATTCCATCATTCCCGCAGATCATTTGGGGATGTTTTGTGCATACATGAGGAGTGGTGGCATTTCTAGAAAGGGATTCCTTGAAGTCTGGTTAGGTGTTCATTTCAAAAGTAGTTTTGCCTCTGTCCCAACCTCCTGAATCAGAAACTCTGTGAGAGCCAAGCTTTCCTGTTTTCCTTATCTTATGGGAGCCACTATTGATGATGTGAGGGAAAACACTGGTTATCTTCTGCTAACTCCCTGAATTTGGCAAGAAAGAGAATAATCCCTTTCATCACCGAACCCAACATTTCTTGGGAAATCAAGAATTTTGATGTCTGGCCCAACATCGGGCTAAGTGTTTTCTTTTTTAAAAGTCATTTGTTAGCTAGGAAAAATGATAAGTTTCTCTCTCCACTTGTAAAAGAAGCAAGAGGCAGAAGCAAGTGCTTCTGCTGATCTTGAATATGTGAGCCTGTTGGGGAAGATTTTTACCCAAAAGCCTCTGGTAGGCCTGAGAAGCATAAATCTGTATATGGACAGATACTTATTTGCTAGGGCAAAAAAGCTATAAAATTAGCCTACAAATAACATTGGTTTTGAAAAATATGGTCTCTATTTTATTGTCCTCCTTTTTTTCCAGGAAGATTTGTCTTCTTAAAACTCCTCTAAAACCCGTTTTTCCTTGACAAGAGGATATCCCTATCAAGGAGTGCTGGCTAGGCAGTCTGAAACAGCCTCATGCACTGTAGAAATTATCTACAGTACGTTTCTAGGCTATTTTTAGCCCATGATATTTCTGTCAACACCCAGGAAACCCAAAACAACACTCAGATGATCTCTCTGCTGCATCACAAGATCAGAAACATAGCTTCCTTAATTATAGAAATATAACAAAATTAGATGGGAATGATACCATTTGGATATGCAAAATCCTGAGAAGTAAAATATTAACCTTCTAGTATCAAATAGAATATATTTCTAACTGATAACACTAATCTTCAAAATGTTTGCTGTCTTTTGAAGCCAAAATATTATAATTATTATTATTGGTACTGGATCAAACTCACAGCTTATACCACTGAGCTAAATCCCTGGCCCTTAAGCCAAAATATTTGATAGCCATAGATTTTCTCTTTGGTCTCTCACCTACAAATGGAGATGGATTTTTTCCACTCACATCCTTTTCACAGTGCCAGACTCAATACGGTGGTTCTATCACCTGCAAAGCATGTTCACTGACATAAGTTCAAAACAGGCTTTAGAGCCTTGAACTCAGGTACTGACCACTTCCTTGGTTTTCTTGGGACCACTGGGGTATAAAGGAAAGAGTTCAAATTCCTGGAGAAATCATCTGTTTTAGAATAATGAAAGATGATTTCATTCTATGTGTCATCTAAATGATCTATTTTAATGTTTTTGCAGGACAGACTGTGTGCATTAATTAATTTATATTACTCTGCTAAACTTGTTATTTGTAAGCTTCCTGATGCAGCTACACTTTAAACAATAGTGTCTTGACACAGGGCTTATAGAATTACTTGTTCTAAACAGGCTGGAAGACTCTTTGAAACATCGACCAGCATCTCTCCTCCTGTATTTACCACCCAATGGTACTGCAAAATTGGAAATCTGTTCATATTTTAATAACTCCTTAGAAGTTGCTAAGATCACTCCTAGTTTTAGTTTTTCTTTTTATTGTCAAATTTCTTTGAGAAAGTATTTCATTTATGAATAAAAGGAGCAACTTTTAACCAGGCAGGATTGGTGAGAATGTGTGTCTTAACTGATAACTCACTATAGTAGCGTCTGCTTTTTTGTGATCTCTGTATCACTGCTCTGATCTTCTGGATTTTCTTGGTCTAGAATCAGACTATTACCAAGAACAACTGGATGTTTGTTTAGTGCATTATCATATTTATCAATTTTTACCTTTTGGAGGGAGAGGAGGCAGTAGGGGGAAGGTAGAAAGAGCAGTTGTGTATTGATCACTGAAATGAGGTACAAGGGTCTGTGGCTAGAACAGGAGAAGAAGGGCACCTTCCCCTCTCCACACTAGTGGGACTTTATTGGAAGTTTGTTCACTAGATTCAGATGCTCTTTATACAGATGTCCCAGAGAAAGTGTGGCATATCCAGTAGAGATGGGTCACAACACATAAGGGTAATTGTAACTCTTAGGTAGATGCTGTGTTTAAGGAATGAGGTGTGTAGCCTGTACAGGATAGAGTAATAAAGGTACATTATGAACATCTTCACATCACTAAAGAACTTTGACATAAGAGGATTTAGCCTCATACCTATGTAATCCCAGATGCAAAACTAGGACCTATGGGTAGAAGTTGCAGAGTCAGATTTATTTTAAATATAAGGAAGACTGTTTTCCAAACCAGCTGGAATTCTTTGTGTACAGAATATTTTGTTTTAAAAGGTGATAAATTTCCCATCATTGAGACTATTCAACAATAAACAGGGCAGCAGTGCAGAATTAGGTTAGAGATGGGACTCCAGCAAGAAAGATTCCTAAATTCCTTTTACAACCTCAAGATCCTGCTTGAGGAAATTCAGACTTTTAATCTGATTTATGAAAATTTGCTCAAACTGATTACAGAAAAGAAGGGGAAAAGGTTGGTGTAGTCTGTATTCCCTGGTCTTCAGTACACTAGGGTTATGGTCTTAGAGAAGGTCACCCTCCTACTTGTTATCACTTAAGTTTGAATTAGGTGACTTCAAAGGCTGCACTTGGCACTAACACGTGTGGTCATCACAGCTCGTGTAGCAGTTTAATGGTTCAGAAGCAGCAGCCTTCCTAATGGAAGTGGCCTTCTCTCCCTCCAGGGACACAGCTGAGTCACTGATCCAAAACATAAACTTCTTGCCACTCCTGCATAGGAGGGCTGTGTTGGGACCATCTGGAAAGTCACCCGGCCAATACAGCCCATCCAGTGTTTGTCACAAAAGCTCTAGTTCAGCTCAAGAGTTGAACTCCTTAATGTACTGTGATAACCAGTTTTCATCGAGACCACCCAGTCTATTTGTAATTAAATGTCTAATTGGTAGACTTCTGAACTTCATTCCCAGGGTCATATCTAAGAACTCCCCTCCCCAGATAAAACCACCACAGGGCATTATTTCTCTCCCTTGCGGCCTAAGCTTTGGTGGTGCCATTTAAAGTGCTTTCATCTTCCTCCACTTGAGTCTCAGCAGGGTTTCCTCCCCCCACACCCTTCTCTCCCTCTCTGTGACTCTGCAGCACATGATAGAAAAATGCAAAGGAGATTCATCTTGTTTTGCTGCCTATCTGGGGAAACCTTTTCTAAAGTATAAACAGAAAACCAAATATGGTGATTAAAAAACACAGTTGAAATTATTTTGAAAAGTCGATAAGTACCCCAGGCAGCAAATCCCACATCAAAAGGCCAGCTGTTGGGGTATACCCTTCAAGTTCCATTAACTGCAGAGGCCAGGTATAGGGAGGGGCCTGGGAGCAGAGGCGGGCTTGAAGAAAGACACAAAAGGTCAGGGTGATAATTAAAAAAAAAAATAGTTTGAGGGAGTGAGAAAATATTCAATATTTCTATCAGAGTTTAGTTTCAAAGAAGCGCAAACAAAGCAATTTCTTATTGTCATCTTACTTTGTGAGGAGTTCTTTTGGTAAGTCTTTCTCATAGATTTCACCAGAATATATTCTCATGAAAAATTTCTTCTTCTGGGTTTTTTTTTTTTTTCCAAATCCTGCAGTCTCACATTAGAAAAGAATGATTTTGCAGCTTTGGCTAAGGGAAAGAGGATAGTGAACCATTTAAGCATGGTGGGGATTAGGGACCACGGGGATCCTTTCATGACAGAATCTGAGTGGAGACCAAGTAGTTGCCAAGTGGCTTCACCTGCACGCTTTGGATGATGTGGTGGCTTGTGTCAGCTTCTCACCTTCTTGGCAGGTGTGCTATAAGCAGTGTGTACAAGGCCACATTGTCACAATGTTTGCTTTGACTACGTTTTTCCTGGCAATATCAAAGATGAGTCAAACTTTCTGTGATGTCACCAGAGCTTCAGGAATGGAGCTTCTAGATGTCGGAAATAAATACTGAGGGCACTGATCAATTCATGGACTGAGAATCATTCTAGTGTCTCACATCTGAAATTAGATATTTTCTTCCATGAGCTCAAATCATTAGTCTAGTGACACCTTAGTCCTGAAGATCATGATTAGGTGAAGATTTTTAAGGGAGATTCCATAGAAAACATAAGTCAGAGGGAAAGACATTTTCTTCTTTTTGGAGTGTTTGAATATGAAACTCATAGTGTGTGATCAAGAGTTCTGGAACAGACAGCTCTGGATCAGATCTTACCATTTCAATTGGTGTGGCTTTGGGCAATTTTCTAAGTCTTGATTTTCTTATCCATAAAAGAGAGAAAATACTAATGCTTATGTGTAGTAGTTAGGATGCCTTTGGTTCTGAGTAACAGAAAACAACTCAAGCTAGCTTAGAGGGACCTTGTCTGCGAGGTACTGAAGCACTTGCAATATTCTTTTATTTTATTTTTTATTTTAAAGAGAGAAGAC